TTTCTCAATGGAATAACCTTACCTGCACGTGACCATCAGAAACGAAGACAAAAATTATATTTGTAATGGTATTTATCAAAACTTAAATGTTTGAATATTTAGTAGAATATGAATTTGCCAAATAAGCGAAGAATTATAATCTTGCATTGTTCAACATTGGAGAAATGACTCAAGTTGAACATTAATCATGTTAATACTGATTCAATATTTTATTATAGTCTCACCACATACAAACATAAAATGAGAATCACAGAAATAAACATAAAACATTAAAACATTTGCATTGTATGTACCAATCTTAAAAAGAATAATGAGAGACTTTTAAGACACAATATATTTACTCATTTACATTTAAAATTTACAGTGTCCACCTGTACTATATGAAAATAAAACATTTTTTCTTTGAGAACTAGGAAATAAAATGCCGTTTCTTTTCAATGAATATTGTTGATGTTTTTGGCAACTATAGCAGCAACATTGCCGTTATTAAATAAAAATATAAATTTTTCGCTATCTGATAATTAAAGGTTAAAATGTTCATTAAAATGTTTAGCTTATTTTTTGTCTAAAATCTTCATATAATGGGCATTTTAAAATGACATGAAGCTCATCTTCAATAGTAGAGCTACAACACATGTCATCTCGTGGACTTCTTTTCTTTCATACTTTCCAGTTTCTATTTTTATTGGAGCTACCCCACATCTAAATTTTGCAAAAGCACTGTTGTTTTCAATTGGCGGAATATTTTTCAACAAATAACAGTTGGCCAACAGTATATTTTTAAGCCCATTTCGCTCAGTTGAATAGAAATTCCAATTTTAACTGTTCTGTCGTAGAAATGTCATCATGTTATTGTTTGTACGTAGAACATGTATCATTATATTAAAATGTGTCAGTCCCAGCCAAGATTCACTGAATAACCACGAAATGTTTACAGATGATAAAGAAATTTTACACAAAAATTCATGAATCTGTATGAACTTTATGTACGATGAAGTTAATTAAGTGTTCACAAGAAAGTAAGTATGAATGTAGATTTTATTTAAAGTCGGAACATATATATACACTTTAACCGTGAGATAAAATATAAGCTTTGATGAGCTCTATAACCGACTATCATATAAAGACCGCAATGAATGAACGTTACCCGATTAGAGATGAACGTTTGACAAATGCACGTTATCTGATGTACACAGCAAAATACACGATTGACGAACGCACGATACACGGTTAAGAATGAATGATTGATGAACGCACGATACACGCACGATATACACGCACGATACACGCACCATACACGATTAAGAATACACGATGCACGCACGTTACACGGAAAATACACGGAACGATGAATGATGAGCGCACGATTGGTACACGCACGATACACGCACGATACACGCACGCAACACGCACGATACACGATGAACGCACGGAATAATGGTCAGTTTGAATTTTAGAAGGTCTGTAATACATAGATAGCACATGCAAAATAAAATCTAAGCAAGATATATATATATTAAAACAAATGTCAATTATCAGCACATAGTAGCACACAGTAGTTATATCTGAGTGGCACATGCAAAATTAAACACTACAAGCACAAGCAAAAGACTGCAAGCAGCTACAGCACAGGTAATGCATAAGCAAAACAAAGAAATAATAAATAAAAATGACTGCAAAAAATAAAAAACATAATTTTTCTGAAAAACACAAGGTGGAAATAAAATTTTTGAGCTGGCCAAAAGTTGATAAGCTCTTTGCCTCATTTGGCAAGGAGTTCCAGAGTCTTGCTGCCTCGTAACTAAAGCTTTTCTTACCATACCTTGTTGTTTTTGGCCGTGGTATATCCGCTATGCCTTTGTACCTGGAGTTATATGAATTTTCTTTAATGTTTATTAAATTATGTAGGAATTCTGGACTTGATTTATTAATTATTTTATAGGTATATAATGCCATGGTTTCTCATTCTTCTAATTTTAAGTGCTGGTAGCTTAGACTGTTCAAGAAGTGTATCGTAAGAATTGTTGTAGTCGTCATAAATGAATCTGAGTGCTCTTTCTTGTATTTTTTCTATTTTCTTTGTGTTTTGTTCACTGCAGAAGTGCCATGTAAGAGGACAATAGCTGAGGTTTGACAAGATAAATGAGTGGTATATTGTAAGTTTAGAAAGTCTGGTCACGGAGATGAGTGCCGATTTTTTTAGTACGTTTAGTTGTCGTGCAGCTTTTTTACAAATATTTGAGATGTGGGTGTTGAAATCCAGTTTAAAGTCTATTGTTACACCAAGAAGTTTCACCTCGTCGTCACATTTTATGTTGAATCCATTTAGGTTGAAGACCATATTTTGAGTGTGTGTTTTTTAACCTATGGCAATTGCTTGGAATTTTTCTGGGTTTGCCTGCATTTTGTTGAAAGAGAACCATGATATTAGGGAGTTACTATCTTCCTCTAAGGGTTTAATTACTGATTCCAAAGTATACCTGATTTTGAGAGGGTGTTATCATCAGCATAGTTATATAAAGCACAGTGTTTAACAAAAAGAAAGATGTCATTTATGAATACATTAAATAATACAGGGCCTAGTATAGATCCCTGAGGAACACCTTTGTAGATATCTTGCATTTGACTGATACTCTGACCTATTTTTACACACTGTTTTCTCGTAGTCAGATAACTTTTGAGCAATTCAAGCGCAGATGGACTAAGGCCATATTTTTCCAATTTACAAAGAAGTAGGTCATGTGGGAGACAGTCAAAAGCTTTACTGAGATCCATTAATATTGCTGCTAAGTATTTATTATTATCCAGTGCCTTTTTCCAATCTTCCAAAATTTTAAGTAATGTTGACTGACAGCCATAGCCTGATCGAAAAGCCGCAAGGAAATGGTCGAAAATATCATCAAAGTATTTAGTAAGTTGATTCTATGGCTGTTTCAAAAATTTTAGATATAGCAGGTAAAACACTAACTGCATGGTCTATAATTACCCTTTTCAAGCACACTGTTTTTTTTTATGAATGGGTGCCACTTGGGCAATTTTAAACGAGTCTGGAAAAATGGAAGTGGATAATGATAAATTAACAAGTTGTGTGATAGGTTTAATCACTACATGTTTAGCAGCGTGTAAAATTTTTGGTGATATACCATCTATACCAGTTAATTGCCTTTTTAACATTTATTTTACCAATTCTTTTAGAAACAAATTCTTCATTTATAGGCTGAAAAATAAGTTTATTTGATGTTGACCCATTTGAGTATTTATTACTAATAGCTTCTATGCTTGGGTGTTTGTCAATCACCTGTATGTTGTTAAAATTTCGTCTTTGAAACAATTTCTTTTCTTTCTGTCGTCATGTTTGACGTCATGATAAACAAAATTCTAAATACCGGATCGGCTATGGATCAGCGTTGGTGTCATAATTTAAAAAAAAATTATAATGTATTATTTGTGAAAAACAGTGTATTTTGGTGGCGATTTTTTCTGTATTGTATGGCGATGGAAGGTGAATATTTTAACGTCTTTATTTTTTTTGTTGCAATTTGTTCTGGGTCAAACGGCAATCTCACTGGACTATGTTGTCACCGATGTTTTTTGCAACATTTACAAAAAAGTTATTAAAAATTTCAGATATTTCTTGTTGGTTTGTGATGCAGAGATGCTTAAAGATCGAGTTTGTATGATAGGCCTAATGAATTATAATGATGAATTCAGAGTTGGCATAGTAAAAAAACACATATACATGTATTACACAAGCTATAATGATCTTTTAACCGACGTAATTGAACGAGCAGCGCTACTATATTCTGTTCTGTACAGGTATGTACATGTACCTCCGTTTTTACTTCCGAAGCACTCAACTTTACAATACTTATCGGATGAGCAAGTAATGTTTACTGATCGAAAAGTCCGATATCTTCACACAATAGCAATGACACAATGTTTTATGTTCATTATTAACAGAGAAGCTATGTAGGAGTTCACCTATACAAAACGGTGATTCGTATCCATTGAGGAGGTGTTCCATAATTGGAAGGGGACATTCATATAGAAGAAGATAACGTTGGTCTCTTTCCCTCGACTTATATTCTCCCTTCAAAAACAAAGGAAGTTTGGTGATTTATCTTATTCTTTACAAACTGGAGTGAAAAATATATGGGTAGAATTATACTGTTTACTAGTATTACGTGAAAACTGTGCAGAAGCTATTATCTGCTTGTCAAGATTGAAATTTGTCACTTAAGACGGTAATTGTGTTATCATGGTTTTCATGGTTATAACTTTTGAACCGCTTGGCCGATTCCCAAAATTTTGGCACCAATGAATTTCTTTTTTTGTGCTCTTTCATTATAATGTAATTTTATGCACTTTCTCTATACTTCATATTTTGGCTGACCTCCTTAGTTATATATGAATGCCAAATATTATGAGACAACTATTCTCCAAAGTTCAAATTAAGTATCAAGATGCATCCTGTAAGAAATAAAGGCAACCATGTGGACTTCAACAACGAGACAAACCCATATCGCCAGCTGTAAAAGGCCCCGAAATCAAACATTGACATATGTTAAACAGTTCAATTGAGAAAATTAATGTCCTGATTTTAGTAAAACATGGTAAAAACAATAAATGAAAAACATATACCGGTATGATATACAGCAACTAATGACAACTATCAAATCACAGGTTCCTGACTTTGGACAGGCACACCCAGAAACTTGCGCCAAACTCTTCCTGATAATTACCTCGGCTCCCCAAGTGTTGTATTGTCCAATGAAAAATTAACAAAAAAGCAAGTTTAAAATTTTAAGAAAAGCCACATACAGATGTTTTACATGTATTTGATATCAGAATGTGAGTTCTTATTATTTATGTTATCATGTGTTATAGCTAATAATACTCAAGTAGTCGTATTATTGACATTAATAAAATCTTCTGACAATAATTTCTGAATTTACAGTAGTACTATTAATAAAGAATGTCTGATGTACATGTATCTGTAACAGTAAATTTGGTCTGGTAGTTAAATTGGTCTGCCAGACTTTATTTCCTAGTTAATCAAGTCCATGACCATTATTTTACTAGGAATGTAAGTCCCAGGACAAATTTTCGAAGGAAAATAAGTCCTTTGCTAGTAAAATATGTCTGGCATTTATTTTCCTAGGGAAAATTGTCCTTAGACTTGTTTTTCTAGTAATTATACGACCGCAAAATCGTATATTGGTATGATGTCGGCGCCGTCGTCGTCCAGCGTCGTCGTCGTCTGTAGACACATTGGTTTTCGCACTCTAACTTTAGTTTAAGTGAATGGATCTCTATGAAATTTTACCATAAGGTTCAATACCACGAAAGGAAGGTTGGGATTGATTTTGGGGGTTATGGTACCAACAGTTAAGGAATTAGGGGCCAAAAATAAGCATTTTTGTAATTTCCAGACGTAACTTGTGTGTTAGTGTACGGATCTCTCTGACATTGTAGCACAAGGTTCCATATCACAAAGGGAATGCTGGGATTGATTTTGGGGGTAATTGCCTCAAAATTTTAGGAATTAGGGGCAAAAAAAAGCAAAAAACAAGCATTTTTCTAGTTCGTGATAATAACTTGTGTGTTAGTGTATGGATCTTTCTGAAATTGTACTACAAGGTTCCATATCACAAAGGGAAAGCTGGAATTGAGTTTGGGGGTAATTGCCTAAAACGTTTAGGAATAATAATAAGGGACCAAAAAGGGGCCAACAATAAGCATTTTTCTAGTTTCCAGACAATAACTTGTGTTCAAGTGTATGGATCTCTCTGAAATTGTATTGCGAGGTACCATACCACAAAGGGAAGGCTGGGATTGATTTAGGGGGTAATTGCCTCAAAATTTTAGGAATTTGGGGCCAAAAAGGGGCCTAAAAACAAGCATTTTTCTAGTTTCCAGACAATAACTTGTGTTCAAGTGTATGGATCTCTCTGAAATTGTACTGCAAGGTACAAATGTACCATACCACAAAGGGAAGGCTGGGATTGAGTTTGGGGGTGATGAATCATAAGAGGGTTCAAAAAATTTGGGGGAGGGTTTTTTTTTTTCTTTAAAATTTTCCATTTTAAATTGGTTATTTCTGATTTATATATAAAAGTAAATAATAATGATATGGTTTGAATAGGTAATTAAAAAATTTTAAGTTCTTAGACCACATACATTCTGTGTCAGAAACCTATGCTGTGTCAAATATTTAATCACAATCCAAATTCAGTGCTGTATCAAGCTTGGATGTTGTGTCCATTCTTGCCCCAACTGTTCAGGGTTCGACCTCTGCGGTCGTATCAAGCTACTCAGCGGAGCATTTTATTTTTATTATATTATAAAAATTATTGAAAATAAAAAAAACAACATATTTTCTTAGTTAAGATTTGAAAATTTCATTATTTTTTTCCTATTAAAATAAAGGACATGGCCAGACGTTATAACCTAGGCATGTTAATGACATGGACATGATGTCCTAGGAAAATTAGTCTGGGGACATAAATTTTATTAAAATATTAATACACAACTCTAAAACAATATTAAAACATAACATTTAAATTTACCTTTCAACATGAAGGGAATGGATTTTTTTTACCTAGGAATATTAATGACATGGACATGATTTCCTAGGAAAATTAGTCTGGGGACAAACACTTTATTAAAAAAATTGATACACAACTCTTACATGTCTTAAACAATATTAAAACATAACATTTATATTTACCTTTTAAAATAAAGGGCATGGAGGTTTTTACCTAGGAATAATAATGACATGGACATGATTTCCTAGGAAAATTAGTCTGGGGACCTGAATTTTATTAAAATATAAATGCACAACTCTTTAACATGTTTAACAATACTAAAACATAAAAATTGAATTTCCATTGTTTACATGTAAATAATTTGTTTCATTAAAATTTCCTTTTTAAATAAAGGGTATTGACGTTTTTACCTAGGAATATTAATGACATGGACATGATTTCCTAGGAAAATTAGTCTGGGGACATAAATTTTATTAAAAATATAAATACACAACTCTTAAACAATATTAAAACTTAACATTTAAATTTCCAATATTGTTTAAATGTAAATAATTTGACTCATTAATATTTTTCCTATAGAAAAAAGGACATGGACATTTTTCCTAGGAATATTAATGACATGGACTTGAATTTTCTAGGAAAATTAGTCTGGAGACATAAATTACTAACATCGGACTAAAAATACTAGTAAATTCTGTAACCATGGACTTTTTATACTAGTAATATGTGTCCACCCGGACATATTTTACCAGGACAAATTTATCTCTTACATATCTATAGACTAAAAAAATTTAGCACACATCCATGATAAACAGTCGGAGAAAACATGACCTTGTGCAAAGCCAAAATAAACATACTGATAGATTAGAGAACCACTGAATGGAATGAAGCAAAACAAAGCATGAATGGCTGACCAAGTGTTGTTACTTTGTAGCTGCTCCATCATCCAAGATGGCCGCCAGCCGGGGACTTAGCTTAACATAGCACCCTATGGGAAATACATACAAATGTTTTCTTTTAGAGAACCACAGAATGGAATGAAACCAAACATTTGAATGGTTTTACACTAGTAATTTTTTGGGGCCCTTTATAGCTTACTGTTCGGTGTGAGCCAAGGCTCCGTGTTGAAGACCGTACTGTGACCTATAATGGTTTACTTTTATAAATTTTGACTTGGATGGAGAGTTGTCTCATTGGCACTCATACCACATCTTCTTATATCTATAGCATGAATGTTCCTTATGAGGTGCTGACCAAGTGTTGTTAATTTGTAGCCGATCCATCATCCAAGATGGCCGCCAGCGGGGGACTTAGTTTAACATAGGACCCCACGGGAAATGCATACAAATCATGCAAATGTCATCTTATAGAGAACCACAGAATGGAATGACACCAAACATAGCATGAATGTTCCTTATGAGGTGCTGACCAAGTGTTGTTACTTTGTAGCGGATCCATCTTCCAAGATGGCCGCCAGGGGGTGACTTAGTTTAACACAGGACGCTATGGGAAATACATACAAATGTCTTTTTTACAGAAACACAGAATGGAATGAAACCAAACATAGCATGAATGTTCCTTATGAGGTGCTGACCAAGTGTTGTTACTTTGTAGCTGATCCATCATCCAAGATGGCCGCTAGCACTAGCAGGGGACTTAGTTTAACATAGGACCCCATGGGAAATACATAAAAATGTCTTCTTTTAGAGAACCACTGAATGGAATGAAACCAAACATAGCATGAATGTTCCTAATGAGGTGCTGACCAAGTGTTGTCACTTTGTAGCCAATCCATCGTCCAAAATGGCCGCCAACAGGGTTCTTAGTTTAACATAGGACCCTATGGGAAATGCATACAAATGTCTTCTCATAGAGAACCACAGAATGGAATGACACCAAACATAGCATGAATGTTCCTTATGAGGTGCTGACCAAGTGAACATTGTTACTTTGTAGCGGATCCATTACATTACATTTACAAATGTAGCCTATCCATCATCCAAGATAGCGACCAGGAGGGACTTAGTTTAACTTAGGACCCTATGAGAAATACATACAAATGTCTTCTTTTAAAGAAATTATTATGCAATATTAAACCAAATTTGGCCTCAATCATTATTTAAGTATCTGTTATGATTTTTATATGACCACAAAAAAAATTTGCGTCGTATAATGCTATCATGTCGTTGTTGTTGTCTGTGACGTCGTCCGAAGACGCATTTAGTTTCCAGAAAAAAACTTAAGTTTAAGTGAATGGATCTCTATAAATTTTTACTAGAAGGTTCCAATACCACTAAAGGAAGGTTGGGATTGATTTTGGGGGTTATGGTCCCAACAGTTTAGGAATTAGGGGCCAAAAAAAGGGCCCAAATATGCATTTTTGTAGTTTCCAGACAATAACTTGTGTTTAAGTGTATGAATCTCTCTGAAATTATACCACAAGTTTCCATACCACAAAGGGATGGTTAGGATTGACTTTGGGGGGTTATGGCTCAAACCATTTAGGAATTAGGGGCAAAAAAGGGGGAAAAACTAGGTTTTTCTGGTAAATGGACAATTAAGACAATTTAAAAGCAGTGTAAGGGAGGTAATCCAAATCAATTTAAAGAACACTGTTTGATTACCTCCCTTACACTGCTTGTAAATTATGTATTAAGAAATTATGATTGTCTTGAGGTATTAGCTGTCAATTTATTTTTAGCAGTCACTATTAATTAATATTAATTTTAGCCATGACTATGTATGTCATTTTATATTTTAAAACTTTTATGAAGTATTTAAATGGGTAATTGTGGTTGCAAACTCCATTAGAAATTTGAATTAAGATACTGACCATATCTTGAGGGAAAGAATTTTTTTTGGGTATAAGAGAAAGGGGGAGGTGAAAAAAATTGGAGGGGGGACAATTTTTCTCATTTCAAATTTCAGAAATTAAAAGAAAATTTCTTCAAATATTTTTTTTTGGGGTTAATATTCAACAGCATAGTGTATTGCACAAAAGCAAAAAACCAGGGTAAAATTATTTTTTTTTGGGGGGGGAGGGGTCAATTCGCAACAGCATAGTGTATTGCACATAAGCAAAAAATTGAAAATAAATTCAAATCATATAACCAATTTGAAGTTCATTGACTACAGTTATTCTGTGTCAGAAACCTATTATGTGTCAAAAATTTAGTTACAATTCAAATTCAGACCTCTATCAAGCGTGAATATTGTGTCCATATCAAATTTGATTTCTTTATCAATCCTTTTCATCATGTTCATCAGTAATGCAATCAAGACGTCGAAAAACTACTAGTTATGCAATACCACACGTCTACAGGACACAAAAAAGAAAAAAAGAAAAAAAAACACACACAAAAAAAATAATATTTTCCTTACACTGCATTTTCACCTTCAATTACCTTTATTATGAAAGTCTTATCAACTAGGATAAAGAAATGGCTACTTCCCAATTAATTCTTTCTTTCTATAATGGTATAATGGTGCGAAAGGACCAAGGCCGAACAGGTGTATGGCCGAAACGACATACAGCCGAACGGGTTCATGGCCGAAACGTCTCGAAAGCATATAAAGGTCAGATCTCTATCATCCTTAGACTTCCTTTATTTTTTGTTGATCATGAAGTCTGAACAGCAGGCAAAATTTAATCATTTTCTTTTTGTTGACAAAACAATGTCCATGATGTCGGTGACAAAACAATAGTACATTGAAAAAATAAATTTGTAAAACTGTGTTATAAGAAATATATATGCAAAGAAAAGATGTTTAAAGTTCATTATTTCAATGTATTTACATCATTTGTACATACATTATTACATTAGAAGCTTTTGAAGCTAAAATTTAAAAAAAATGTTGATCTTTTGCTGCATATATATTATTAAAAGAAATTGGAAAAAATCATATACATATTTGTACATACAAAATCTAAAGATCTTTCAGGTTAAAAATATCTGGAGTGTTCCACATAGTTGTTAATAGACTGATGTTCATGATGTTGCATGTTACAATTTCCAAAAATATACCTATTTTTTACATTTAATCTTTGCTGCATATCAATTGATTCCATTTGAAATTTTCCTTTGAACTTCTCAATCTTGCTACATACATGTAAGGATAATTGGCATGTTCCACACGACTCCACCTACATCCCCCCCCCCCCTTAGGTCAGTCAGCAGCCCCCTTATGAAAAGTTCTTGATCCGCCACTGCGTCCTATCCCCAGTATGTTCATGGTTCAGCAACTTCACATTAATTAACAATGTTGCTGTCTGAGTTTGTCTGTTTTAATTTTTTTTTATGCAGACAGGCAAGATATATCTCTGAGTCAACAGTTTATTTACTATAGATAAGAATATGTGGCATAAGTGCCAATTAGACAACTCTCCATCCAAGTTACAATGCATGAAAAGTAAATATTTTATAGGTCAAAGTACGGCCTTCAACACTGAGCTAGTAAATTATGTTGACATTTACCAACATTGTTTTCCTTTATATGAACAAAGAAGATGTGAGGTATTATACATCAATGAGGCAGTACATTATATAAAATTCTTGTACATGTTGTATATAGTATGAGATAAGAATTACCCAAACATACAGATGCATAAATACAGAGAATGTCAAAATAGATATGTAATGTGTAAATTGCAGGAAGGTATCAAAAGGTTTATGTCTTTATACTACTTTTTTCCTTTATACAGAGTTGTACAAGAACTCACATACTGGAGATTAACATCATCAATAAGATGTTAGAGGGAGGAGTGGATTTAGTCACACTCACTGGTACTCTACAGAGACACATCAACACACAGACTGGTAAAACACTTCATAAATGTGATGTTGGTGGTAAAGATTTTAGTAAAAGAAGTGACCTAATAAGACATGAGAGAACACATACAAGTGAAACACGTCATAAATGTGATGTTTGTGCTAGAGAATTTACTCAAGGTAGTCACCTTAAGAGACATGTAAGAACACATACGGGTGAAAAACCTCATAAATGTGATGTTTGTTTTAGAAAATTTAGTCAAAGTAGTGACTTAAAGAGACATATGAGAACACATGCTGGTGAAAAACCTCATAAATGTGATGTTTGTGCTAGTGAATTTTCTCAAAGTAGTCAACTAAAGGCACACATGAGTACACATACTGGAGATAACTCTCATGGCTGTGATTTATGTGGTAAACGGTTTAGTTATCTTAGTAGTTTACAGCGTCACATGAGAACACATACAGGCGTTACACCCCATGACTGTGATGTATGTGGTAAACGGTTTAGTCAGCTTGGTAATTTAAAGATTCACATGAGAATACATACCGGTTATAAACCTCATGAGTGTGATTTATGTGGTAAAAGGTTTATTCAGCTTTGTGGTTTACAGATTCACATGAGAATACATACAGGTGATAAACCTTATGACTGTGATGTATGTGGTAAACAGTTTAGTCAGCATAGTATTTTACGAAACCACATGAGAACACATACAGGTGATAAACCTTATAATTGTGGTGTATGTGATCAACAGTTTAGTCAACGTAGTAGTTTAAATATTCACATGAGAATACATACAGGTTATGAACCTCATGAATGTGATGTTTGTGGGAAAGGGTTTAGTGATCTTAGTAATTTAAAGAAACATATGAAAATGCATACAGATAAAGCATGTAAACCTCACATTTGAGATTGCAAAGGGTTTAGTCAACAATGGTCAATTTAATAGTTTAAAATGAAGTATGAGCACACATGCCATTTAATTTACTTTATGACTGTGATGTATATGGTACAGAGTTTGGTCATCATTGTAATTTACATATTGACATGAGAACATATACATGTTATTAACTTCATGACTGTGGTGTATGTGGTAAAGGGTTTAGCTAGCTTAGTAATCATGCTAACACATGAGAACACATGATTGTGATGTATGTTGCATATGGTTTAGTCATATATTCATGATCTTAGTAATTTAAGGAGACATATGAACATGATAAAAATACATACAAGCAAAACATATAAATCTCACATTTGTAATGTATGTGGTTAAGGATTTAACTAGCTTAGTATTTCAAAGAAACAGATGAGAACACATACAGGCGATAAAAATCATCACTGGTGATGTATATGTGGTAAACAGTGATAAAGGATTCATTTTACTCAATGTGATTTGAGACACACTAGAACACATACAGGTTATAGACCTAAGGGAGCTACCATTTGATTTTTATAGGGGGGTGGCTTGGATGAAATTTGAAAAAAAATAGGCAGGACAGGAGTTTTGAGTAAAAAAAAAGGCAGGACGAGATTATTTGCAAAAAAAAAGGCAGGATGACAATTTATGTAAAAAAAAAGTCAGGATAAACTAAAAAAAAAAGGCAGGACCGAAAAGAGTGAAAAAAAAGGCAGGACCGAATAGAGGGAAAAATAAAAAGGCAGGACAAAATTTTTCATCCTAGCCCCCATAAAAATCAAATGGTAGCTCCCTAATGACTGATGTATGTGGGAAAGAGTTCAGTCTACTTTGTGATTTATAGAGACACACGAGAACACATACAGGTTATAGACCTCATTACTGGGATGTATGTGGGAATGGGTTTAGTCACCTTATTTATTTAAAGAGGCATATGAAATTTCATGACATTTGTCAGTTTGCGATGTACCAAACAAATGTATGCAAATACATACAGGCAAATTACCTTATGACTGTAATGTATGTGGTACAGGGTTTTGTTAGCAATGTTATTTACATATTGACATGAAAACATATTAATCTCAAGACTGTGGTGTATGTGTTAAAGGGTTTAGCTAGCTTAGAAATGTCAAGAGACACATGAGAACGCATACAGGTGATTAATCTCTTGACTGTGTGTGGTCAAGAGACACATGAGAACGCATACAGGTGATTAATCTCTCGACTGTGTGTGGTAAAGGTTTTAATCAGCATGTTTATTCAAAGAGACACATTGGAATACATATAATTAGGGATAAAACTCTGAAATGAGATTGAGCATGTTGAGGTTGGGGGTTCAATATAAGTGATAATCTCGTACTTAAAACATGAGAACACGTACTAGTAAATAAGTGATAACATGGATAATTTATAAAGACAAATGAGAACACATACTCATGATAATTTACAATGACACAGGAGAACACATACTCATGATAATTTACAGACACATGAGAATTCATACTAGTAAATAAGTGATAATTTACTTAAACACACACATGAGAACCCTTACTAGTGATAAGTGATAATGATTATTTACATAGACACATGAGAACATGAGAACACATACTAGAAAATAAGTGATAATTTACGTAGACACATGAGAAATCATATAATTTAGTGATAACTTACATATACATATAATAGTTTGAACTGGACTGGCTTGATATCATTAAAATCTTTAAAACACGGATATTATAAGTTGCCCGTCACAGAGTCCTTGCTTATAATCACTCTGAGGGTTACACTAAAGACCTGAAGGTGGACCTGAAAAGACATGAAGATATACTACTCGATTTATTCAAATTGCAATTACGTTTTTATTATACGATGGATTTCCTTCAAATTAGAATTTTATTAAAGGTAAAGAATCACGTGGTATTAGAAATAAAATGTTTTAAATAAAAATCAAATTTTTGATGCCAAAAATCGGACCTGAACGAAGAAATGAAAAGACCTGAACGGACCTGAAATTTTACGATCAGACTTATTCAAACGTCAATAACTGTTTTATTTTTCAATGGATTTCCTTCACGTTTAGATTTTGTGAAACGTAAAATTCAATATCTTAATAATATTACAAAAGAAATTATGAAAAATATTTTTGGGGCGCCAAAACTCGGACCTGAACGGCAATTTCAATTACCCGAATTGACCTGAAAATCTCCGGTCAGATTTATACAAGTTCTATAACTGTTTTAGATTTCAATCAATCTCCTTGTTATTTAAATTTTGTTATAGAAAGAAAATATGTAGTATTTTATTGAAATGATAAAGAATTTTATGAAAACTATTTTTTTGTTCCAAAAATCGGACCTTAACAGGGAAATAAAAAGACCTGAATGGACCTGAAATATACGCGTAGACGTATTTAAACTGAATGAACTTTTTTATTTTTTAATTGATTTTATTCTAAATGAAATTATATTAAAGAGGAATGATTTTATGTATACATGAATTTTTTTAAATAACAAATACCTTGTTGATGTTGAAACCTTAACCTGAAGGGAACACAGGTTTGTCCGTGGAAAATTATTCAAACTAATTAATTTGTTTAATTCGTATCTGTTTTAACTTCTATAAAAACAGGATTTGATTCAAATTGTTATATCTATATATTGAATATAAAAGTATCATTTGCACATGCATAAACCATGTAATCTAAAGAATGTTTTATAGATTTGATAAATATTTAGTAGTCTCTCATAATTCTTTATAGAATGGCACTTGTATTCTAACTTATAAAATTGCTGTTTTATAAAATGTATATTTATGATGATATGTATTACAAGTGATGAGACTTTAATAAAATATTGAATCTGAATCTGAATCTAAATACGTGTGTTCGTTGATTGGAATGTATTTATTACATGAACGTGTGCCAGCTGTAATTCACACCTAGTAATAATGATTTAATATTTTAAATGTTTTCCTATGGTTATGACATTACATTGGAAAAAAAGTAGGTTAAGTCTGTAAATGTTATTTGGATTTGAGGGTTTATTAACAGAAATTTAAACAGGTTAGTCATTATTTCATGAATACGCTAAAGCCTGAATATTACTTTGAAGTTCGAATAGAGTTTTACTTTTTCGTCGAACAAACATTTGTCATTTCTCGTCAATCGTCCATTTTTTAAATTCTGAGTTTGAACATATTCAGTACAAAAGTTGTAACGGAACATTTGTTTAAAAGTTGTTTTATTTTATTCAAATGATTTTTTTAGATAAAACCATTTTGACATAATGTCATAATTGAAAAAAAACAAAACATTTTGACATAATGTTATAATTGAAAAAAAAAGAAATGTTTTATTGATACAATTGAATGTTGGTATGAGAAGGCATTTCTAGAGATTGTAATATGAGTTGCACTATTAATAGAAATTGTAACAGTAATTCTAATTTTGCAGGGGAAAATTGTGTATACATATGGTTTGAAATTTACTGTTTATTATAAGATATAAGTGCAAGTTTAAAAGATTTGTTTTGCCCCTACCGAAGCGGAAGTTCTAAGTGTCACCCTTGTCGTCTGTACGCCCGTTCGCCCGTACGTACGTAAGTCTGCTCGTCTATACGTCCGTACGAACATACCGAAATTGGTTTCAGTTTTCTAACATTAGTTTACCTCAACCAAATGTTATATATCTTTTGTACAACGCTTTTTACCACAAACTCAGATCAAGTTGGAATTTCATTTGGTGGCGTCATTTTTATCGTTCTTGATATATGTCCCTTTATAACGTTATATGCCAGCAGGGCCATCATCTGTGTCCCGTGGAAGGTTGAGATTGATTGTTAGGGTTATGACCCAAACCGTTTAGGAAAAAGGGGCCAAAAACAATTATACTTTGTATCAATAGCTTATTTCTTGACCAATTTCAATGGGGTCTAATTCAAAGTTTTGAATTCTTGGGGTTCTTTAATGTGCTGATTCTATCCGTGTTTTTAGATTTTGAATTATGAGCCCTGTTTTCAAATTTGTTTACATTGAGGTAAAAAAATTAACTTTTTTATTTATTAGTCCCCTACCGACGAAGTCTGTCTGTTTTCCAATATTATTAGCTCACCTGGCCCGAAGGGCCAAGTGAGCTTTTCTCATCACTTGGCGTCCGTCGTCCGTCGTCCGTCGTCCGTCGTCGTCGGCGTCGTCGTCGTCGTCGTCCGTCGTCGTTAGCTTTTTACAAAAATCTTCTCCTCTGAAACCACTGGGCCAAATTTAACCAAACTTGGCCACAATCATCATTAGGGTATCTAGTTTAAAAAATGTGTCCGATGACCTGGCCAACCAACCAAGATGGCCGCCATGGCTAAAAATAGAACATAGGGGTAAAATGTAGATTTTGGCTTATATCTCTGAAACCAAAGCATTTAGAGTAAATCTGACAATGGTAAAACTGATTATCAGGTCAAGATCTATCTGCCCTGAAATTTTCAGACAAATCTGACAACCTGTTGTTGGGTTGCTGCCCCTGAATTGGTAATTTTAAGGAAATTTTGCAGTTTTTGGTTATTATCTTGAATATTATTATAGATAGAGATAAACTGTAAACAGCAATAATGTTCAGCAAAGTAAGATCTACAAATAAGTTGTCATGACCAAAATTGTCAGTCGACCCCTTTAGGAGTTATTGCCCTTAATAGTCAATTTTTAACAATTTTTTGTAAATTTTTGTAATCTTTTACAAAAATCTTCTTTTCTGAAACTACTGAGACAAATTTAACCATACTTGGCCATAATCATTATAAGGGTATCTAGTTTAAAAAAATTGTCCGATGACCCCGCCTTCTAACCATCATAGCTGACTTGGTTAAAAATAGAACATAGGGGTAAAATGCAGTTTTTGGTTTATATCTCTGAAACTAAAGCATTTAGAGCAAATCTGACAGGTGGCAAAAATGTTCATTAGATTTAGATTTATCTGCCCTGAAATTTTCAGACGAATCTGACAACCCGTTGTTGGGTTGCTGCCCATGAGTTAGTAATTTTACAAAAATTTTGCAGTTTTTTGTTATTATCTTAGATATCATTATAATATCTAATATCTAATACTATTAATTATGATTTTAACCTTATTTTACATGATTTCCAAAGCATCAGTAAATACAGGTGAGCGACACAGGCTCTTGAGAGCCTCTAGTTTTTCTTTGTCACCGTTTGCGGTCTGATAATTCTGTGCAGAGTTAAGGTCCTCGCAATACGAAAATTCACTCAAACAATAATTTTTCATCACTTTTTTTTCATCATGCTTGAAGATATTGACTTGGTATTTGTTAAATAATTTACACCATAACAGTGTATCAAGTTATGGATCAAATTAGCATTTTGTTCCAGTACAATGAATTTTTTACCGGTAGGGGACTAAGTATTGTCATGCAATACTCTCAGAATGTTTGTGTCATCAAAATTTGAATTATTGGGGTGCTTTGATATTTAAATTCTTATGGTTTATTGATATACTGATCGATCTAAACTTGTTCTTGGATTTTATATATTGGACCATAACAAGTAAATGTCTTATTTCAAAATTTTAAAATTCATGCATCACATTCATTCTGTGGAAGAAACCATGCAATGCTGTGTCAAATATCTAATTATAATATAAATTCAAAGCTGTATCAAACTTGAATAAAACATCCATACTTGTCCCAATTGTTCAGGGTTTGACCTCTATGATCGTATCAAACTGCGCCTGTGGTCACTTATTATAATATGTATATACTAGTAGTTTTCTTCTTTCTTACGTAGATAAACTTTATTGATATGATGTATGTGGGAGGAGACGATCTAGTCACAATCAATGGTACTCTACAGAGACACATAGACACACAAACTGGTAAAACACTATATAAATGTGATATCTGTGCAAGATAATTTAGTCAAAGTAATAACGTAAAGAGACACTTGAGGACACATACTGGCGAAAAACCTCATCACGACTGCGATTTATGTGGTAAAGGGTTTAGTCAGTATAGTAATTTACAAAGACACATGAGAATACATACTGGAGATAAACCTTATGACTGTGACTTATGTGGTAAAGGGTTTAGTCATCATAGCGCTTTACAGATTCAAATGAGAACACACACTGGTGATAAACCTCATCACTGCGATGTATGTGGTAAAGGGTTTAGTCACCTTGGTAATTTACAGAGACACATGAGAATACATACCGGCGACAAACCCCATGACTGTGATGTATGTGGTAAACGGTTTAGTCACCTTGGTAGTTTACTGAGACCCATGAGAACACATACAGGAAATAAACTGTATGACTGTGATGAATGTGGTAAACAGTTTGGTCGGCTTGGAATTTTACAAAATCATATGAGAACACATACAGGTGATAACCCTTATGACTGTGATGTATGTTGTAAAAGGTTTAGTCAGCTTGGTAATGTACAGAGCCTGACAGGGCTCGACAATAACGCTTGTCCGATTGTCCGGTACCAGAGGAAAAAAAGGTCGGACAAGTAAAAGCCATATCAAGCTTGTCCGACGGGACAAGTAAAATCATTCTGTAGAAAATTAATAAATCCAACTTTGATGATCAAAGTGATAAACAAAAAACAAGAAAAGTGGATAAAAATAAATAGTAATTTGACATGTTTACTTGCGATCGATAATTTAAAACTGATCGGAATCAGCGGTGCGCTTTGTAGATAAGGTAACAAGACAGTTCGGCACCGGCAAGGAAACGAATCGGCTCCATGTTTAATAGACAGTTCGGTACTGTTTGAGACATTTCGGTACCAAGAAAACCAGTACCTCGTTTTTCCCCATGTTATTCTGTTGCTTTATAATAAAAAAAAATGATAAATTGTATTTAACAAAAATATTTTTAAAATAAAAATGAAGAAATTATTGACCATAAAATTCATAAAATCATATGATCATATTTAGACAAAACAATATTTGATTGTGTTTGAATAAACATTTTAATATATTAAAACAAAGCTGATTGTAGTAAGGCATTAATGATAATAATCAATATTTTATCAACATAAAAGACCAGGATACAAACCAAAAGAGTGTAGACTGAAGGCCTACCAGACTGTGCCTGATGTGAAGAGTCTTTGGCATTGATGAAAACTAGGACCTAAGTCCTGTGACTAGACATGACTAGATTCAGTTGTTCTCGACTAATATTTTTGAAAAGGATATTAAGAAATATAAATCAAATTCTGTTCTATTGTTTTAATTCATTTTGTTCATTGAATCAATCTAAAATGCAAAAAAGGATAATATAAAGGGTTTTTTTTTTTTGGACAAGTTACAATTCCATTCGGACAAGTAAGTTTTGATATGTACTTGTCCTATTGGGCAAGTTGGAAAAAAAGTTATTGTAGAGGCTGAGAGACACATGAGAACACATACAGGTGATAAACCGTGTGACTGTGATGTATGTGGTAAAGGGTTTAGTCGGCTTGGTAATTTACAAATTCACATGAGAACGCATACAGGAAATAAACCGTATGACTGTGGTGTATGTGGTAAAGGGTTTAGTCAGCTTGGTATTTTACAGAGACACACGAGAACGCATACAGGTGATAAACGTCATGACTGTGATATATTTGGTAATGGGTTTAGTCAGCTTGGTAATTAACAAATACACACGAGAACGCATACAGGTGATAAACGTCATGACTGTGATGTATGTGGCAAAGGGTTTAGTCAGCTTGGTAATTAACAAATACACACGAGAACGCATACAGGTGATAAACGTCATAACTGTGATGTATGTGGTAAAGGGTTTAGTCAGCTTGGTAATTAACAAATACACACGAGAACGCATACAGGTGATAAACGTCATGACTGTGATGT